AAGCTGATGGTTGGCGAGAAACTGGAACTGCAATGGAAATACAATGTAAAAGTATCGGAACGAAATCAATGGAGGATTAGCTTGTATGTATTCAATAACACTGACAACGCGAAAAACACACTGTTAGCATTGGATCAGTTTGGGAAGATTAAAGTTCGGCAGTCGTTACCTCTCGTGTATCAACGGATTGATCTGAAACTTTCCCACAACATAGCTAGAATTTCTATACCTACAACTACCTTCGACGATACTGCAGGGTATGGGATTAACTTCGATAAACCAAGTACAGGAAAGAATTCCCTTCAAAAGGTCACTGATGTCATTATTGTTGGTAAGTAAAAACAAACAGTCAACTTTATTGTCGATAATATAACGGGCACTGAAAAAAACATTACGTCAAAGTTGGATTTCAAATTGAATATGCATATTTTTAATCGCTTCTGAAAACTAAAAACTCGTGTATATAATTATAGGAATAGCATTTTTCTTGCATAGAAAATTATATAAAGATATATAGATATATTGATGGCATGCAATAACTGTACAGCTATAATTCTTATTTGATAGTGGAAATCTAAAAATTATAATCAATATTTGTTAACGAATGCGGGCAAAGCCAATATCAGTTATCAGTCCGCATCATTATAAATAAATTAATTCCCTATATACACCAATTTGCGCTACGTCATTAAAATGCGTGCTCAAATTTCGCTCGTGCATTAAATGTTCGCAAAGTACTGTATTGTACTATGTTTCAATATTGCAGCAAGCTGGAATATTAAATGCAATAAATTTCCATTTACGCTATAACGAACTTGGTTTATTTCGTCAAAGTGGGGCGTGGGGTCGAATTTAAAAATCGGTCAATCTTACATGCGGAACAAAATTTTGAAGTTTCCGGCACAATGTTTGCTTAATTTAGATCATTTCGGTCATGAACAAAGGTGGGTCAAAGCGTACGACATATCGCAATCCATAAGGCGATGTTTATGGTTTTGTATATTTTATAGTAATGGTGCAGAATTTCAGAGCACTCTTTTATCGTTCATTTCTATCCGAATAGAAAACAGTTATTCAGAAGGCGAAGACGGAATGAGGAAATTTCACGACGAAATCTTCACTTAAACGTAAATTTCATTTATAATGTTGGAAAGTGGGATGACGGTTTATCATAATTTTGTTTGATAAACATGCAGATGTTTTCCGTGCAACTACTTTAAATTTGAGATAAAACAGTTTTTTTCTTATACAGGACTCAGTCATAATTTTAAGATTATTTGAACACAAGCACAAACACAAGGCCAGTATAGATATTTAAATATATAGAGCATTTAGTTGACTTTATTATACCTACGGAAACAAAATTATATTGAAACGTAGCCTACAACAGTTTCAATCTAAATGCATATCGCATGCAGTATTTAACAAGTGTCGCTTATATTTATTTCTTCATGAATAATTGACTCGCAATTAAAGCGTGATTGTTCTCTGAAAAATACAAAGATTCTGTCTATGATCATGTGAAATATTTAGAGAGAATGTACGTTTTAGCTAAGAATTTGTAGCTAGTATTCAATAATTATACTAATACAGATTTTGCTAAAAACTGAAAACATTCAAGTGTATAGAATGCCAAAACTAATTACACAAATATATATTCACTTTCCAGCCTTTTCGGCAGTTAAATAAAATATGAAGGCCGGAGTACTCACTTTATACGATTATAGGCTATATGTATATGCATATGTAGAAGGAGATGATAGATAAAGTAGTATGGCTAAACAGTGACTACACGCAAAAATTTCACTGTTATTTATTCTAGAAAAATATACTAATTCAAGTGATAAACAGATGTTCATATAATATATACGTAAATCTGATATAATAACAGACGTGAGTACTTATATTAAAACTAAGACGTTTCATCGATTATTTATAATTTCGGTGACCAAAATCCTCACAAGAAATTGAAATCAATAAAGCTAAACTCGACCGCTTAGTTATTGCCTAAGTTGGAAAAATAGCCACAGGCGTCCAATATTGTATTTCGAGAGTATGTTATGAGTGACTGCATGAAAATATTGATAACATAAAAAACATATACAAATGATGAATGTCCTGTGGGACATCGCATACATTAGTTTTCCGCGTTTGATGCCGCTATAAGAAATGCCTATTAGTCTTACTACTACGAAATATAGTTAAATTCTTGAGATTTGAACATAAACAATTTATCGTGGAGCTATAACCTTTAAACTTAGTCTATTTAATGCGTTGATAAGGGCGTCGTGAAGCGACGAGAGAAAATATTTGTTCGTTTGATTTTTCAATGATTCTTAAAGCTCTACCACAATTGATAACTTTATCAATTTGTTCCATGCTTGCACGAATATTTTTGAGAGTGCGATATTTTTCATTTTCTTAATACTTCAACTTCAAAGTTAACTTCAAAATCTCTGCAACAACGTTAAAATCACTGCCGCGCCATGTTTACTCGGGTGAATCTTGATGTGTGACACGTTCAACATATATAGCTTCAACATAAGTATACAATAAGCAATATCCCAACCTTGTTCCAGAGAGTGAGTAACATGGAATCTGATTGTTTTTTTAGTTCTTACGAAAATGCTCGCTTGCCATAAAGTGTTATCCATATGTCTTCATGTAACCCTTCAAATTTACAGTCATACATGATAGCAGAATATAGGGCGTATCATATACAGTAAGCGAGGGAATGTGGAATGTGAATTAGTATTAATTATAGGGTGCTTTTTAAAAATGATTGAAAAGGCCTAGTAACAAATTTCAGAGAGTTTTAAAATAAATTGTTGATTACATGAATTCTGTTGAAACCCTACAGTATGGGCACTTTGGGACCTTACAAATGCATCCGTTTAAAGGAGGAGTCTGCATGCATGCTTGCTTCCTTGCTTGCTTGCTTGCTACAAGAATAATATCAGTGTTTTATCGCTACATTTAAGCCACAGGTTTGTCTTCGTTAAAGAGTTGTTACATTAGGTAAATGCGCATGCATAAATACCGATGCATACCAGAGACATAAAAATGCACTCGTCAACCGGAATCGGTGCAAATTTGATGGTGCTTGAATTGAAAAACTCGCACGTGCATGGACTGTATATTTTTTGAGTTGCGTTCAAAACAGTAGTAAAACACTGAAAATTATCACACCGATCAAATTGTGTTTCAGAAATCACTCTGTAACGTCGATGCAAGACAAAATTTAAAGTGCAATACTGGAATACTCATTTATTCTGCCGATATTTGCAATAAATATCGGCAGAATATTTGCAAAATATTCAACAAAATAAAAGAATATTTGCAAAATATTCAACTTTTATGAAGCGATTTTGCATCCAACCTTCTTAGTTGAGTTCTTCTTACTTCCAGATATGTTCCTTGACGAGGCCGATTCTTCAACTGTCTTACGAAGCTGGATTGGCCAATCTGTAGATTTTGTTTGCACAATCATTTTGAAAGTTGGCGCGGATTCTCCTTCGTTCAAATGGAAGAACGTTGATAAAAACATTACGTTTTCTAATGATAAGACTTCTGGAACAAGGACGAAAAGTGTGCTCACTATAATCCCGAAGAGCGAAAGTGATTTTGGAACCTACAAATGTTATGCTAGGACTTCTCACGCCAAAATTAAACACAATATGACATTAATAAAAGTTGGTAAGTTAGCTTAATTTATTGGGACTCTTTATCTAACTTTTTGTTAATAAAAATGCAAGCAAGCAAGCAAGCAAGCAAGCAAGCAAGTACAGTGCCGTTTTTAAGGAATTTTTACTGGAGGGGGGCGGAGTGGCAAAACAGGAAAAAAAGGGGAGAACGAAGAGAGATTTTGTAAAAGTTTAATTAACTTCACCTATATTTTACTTTAAGCAATAACTTCAACTCTCCGTAGCTATAATCGTACAGCTATAACCAGTGGCGTAGCCAGACCTTTTTTTTTTGGGGGGGGGGTGAACTTCATGCACGTCGAAGTCGTGAGACCGTATAGGATGGTCCGAGTCCATGCACCTCCGGGAAAATTTTGAAATCTAGGGTTCATGAATTGCGATTTCAAGCATTTTGGGAGTGAAATCTAGCAGAATTCCGAAGATTTTAAAGTACATCAAAGACATGAATTTTTCCAAACATTTCTACTTGGAATGAAATAAATTGGAGTCACCTTGAAAAATAGGAGGAGGGTCACCTTATTTCCTCCTTGGGGGGGGGGAGGAGAAAATCCCAATGTGATTTTGACCAGAAATGTTGCATTTAAAGCATTTTAGGTTCTATGAGACACCATTTCCGCATTTTCAAAATTGCGTTGCTTTTTCATACGATACGGAATAAATCTGAGAAGAAATATTCATGCTATGATGATGCATACATGTATTTAACAGTTAAAAATCTAAACTAAATCTATTTTTCTTGGAACCAGCATTTTATCGGATTGTTTGCATGAAATTTATCGCTATTATGAAATACTCGGTGAAGAACAATATGAATTACACACAAGATGGCTGTGGAGGAGGCTATGGAAGGGCATAATCTCATTATCAAGTAAATCAACTGCAATTCTGACAGCAATCATGAGCAATTCTGCTTCGCACTTCGGGGCAGAAATGGCTTTACTGGGG